CATTATCTAAACACCTAATTAATTAACTATAGCGGCCGAACTAAAAAAGTGAAAAGTTAAGGTGCTTGAGACACGAACGAGTGTGTTTAATTACCTTTATACACGGAACACAAAATCGGCGACAYTCTTTCAAGTTTGATTTCAAATTTAAACTCTTTAATAATATTTAGTCCCCTTATCTGCCTTCTATTAATCAGTCTTAAATGCACTTATTGACAATAATAAAATTACAGCCTTAATATCTATGGCTTTAGATAGTATAGTAGTTGTGGTACGGTGTATTACATTCTACAGGACGATAATATTATATAGTCGTATAGATAGTATGATTGTACAACGAGTAATAATATAATGGCGCGAAATGTTCTTAAAAATATGARCTTAAACATACAAAAAAAATCTCGTCATATTAGCGCTCCATRTAGGTAGTGGCTAGGTTGGCTAGCAGTATYAATTTGCTGTAGAGGGCACTATAATAAGACGCGACTTTTTGTCAAATTTGACAAGAACATATTTTGGAGTCGATCGACGACGTGATTAACTACAGGCCCATTAATGTTCWTCCGAAATTAGCTGTTCGCTTATAAAACCTTACAGTTTTAATAATAATAATAATATACATATAAATATATTATTTTTCCATCATTTGGGTWSATATTATATAAATCCGCTTGAACGCGCAATGATCTTAATAAGTGTTTTTGTTGGAGAACATTCAGAACTCACTCTTTCGCGTTTAGTCACGCAATCATAATACATTTAAAGCCACGCTAATAGCTCTGTTCCATAATCATCATCGGTTAGACAATCATCATTATAATGTATATGGTTTGATACCGTAATCTATAACAATTAATAAAACTTTCTATATACCTTACTACGATTCCGTACGAACTATCGCACGATTTTTTTATTTTTTTTATTTATTTAAAATAATGATATTTACAATCTGTGTTTAACATCACAATAAGTAAATTGGATAATTTATGTACATGTATAGTCTAATCTAGTATAACTAGAATGATATGAAAAGGGAGGCCAACCAATGATGGACCCAACGTGAATTTATTTTAGATTAACAAATCTCTGCAATATTTTCTTTTGAGCCTATATGGATGGGATTTATGGGTTGAGTAGATGAGATTTGTGATACTAACGGGTTAGTATGGGAAGGTAGTTTGAAGTAGTAGGATCTGTAGTTTTCGGTGGCTATAATTGGTCAACTGACTCAATTTTTAGGTCAGAGTGTAGTGAAGAGTTGGAAACAAACCAAGGAGCAGACGTTATCATACGGAGGGTAATGGACTGGAATGCTTGTATCGTGCGAATTTGGGACGGCTTAGCACAGCCCCAAATTTGGAATGCATATGAGTCATATATGTGATATGACCATATTGGGTCACAAGATTATAGATTGGTAAATGTTGTACATTATCAAGCCAACAATTTTTCATCACACGTGGCAGTATGTTATAGGTAAGTGTATCATAAATATATATTTAGGTCGCATCGGAGATTATTTTTCATAAGCGCATCAGTAGATATGTAAATGATTAAAATACCTAACAACATATTATTGCGTGTAAGAATGCTGAACGTTATAAATAAGGAATTAAAGAATGCAACGTGGTTGGGGGATCTTGTTACCCTTTAATAACCTTTATTAGTTATTCAGGGAACGTTTGGTTTATAGATCCATATAAATTATTATATTAAAAATAATACTTTAATAATAATGTAGATGGCTGTTAATAAGTGTATTGGTGAGTTCGCTCCTGTTGATGGTGACTGTCGAACTAACTGCTGTGTGTCATTTTGATAATAAGTAATTATGAGCATGGATAGAAAAGTGTTGAGTGTTAAGTTTGGGTATAAGTATAATATTTATATTTATATATATATATATATATAATATATATATACAATATACATAAGGTGTAACGAATGTTACAAGAATTTTACATCATGCTTTATTGGGATGATACTTAGAATAATTTTTTTTTTAGCGTCTAATATACGCATTAAGAACTCGTATCTAACGATCAAACAATCATAAAGAAATTATTAATTTTCCAGATAACTTAGGTGTAAAAAATAATGAAATAAATGGTATTAAATTATATTTTATTAAATTAAAATTAATTTCTTTAAAAACGCACTATCATAGTAACATCGTTATAGATGTAATAGAATTACCTACCATAATATTATCATAATAAAATATTTCTATGTTGATACTTGATCATTACGTAAGGCGATAATAAACAACACTATAAAGTAAATGATTTTTGGTATAATAATACTACCTTTGTATAATGTACATTGTACACGAACAAAAAGTAGTCGCTAAAATCATTCCATTATAATATCTTTTATATTCCTGTACTACAGAAACATTACACTGTTTTTGCAGAACAGCGTTTTCGTAAATATTTTATGTTACATATTTTATTCAAAACGAAACGAGCTTGTAGGGTAACAATGTGTGTTTAGGATACGGATACATAGGGTACCTACTATATATGTGTTTAACGGTGTAACTTTATCATATTATTATTATTATTATTATTATTATTATTATAAATGTAAAGTCGTCTCGCTGTCTCGCATTAGATCATAGAGATCATAAATAAAATTTATGTCCGGTTTTATATAATATTATTCTCTACCGAGATAATATAACATTATACATGTAATATATATATATAATGTTATTATCGGTTGACTTTCATCCAAATAAAACATTTGCGATTGCTCAGATAACGGCTTAGTAAGTGTAGGACGTGTGGGGGATTAGTCTAAAAGTGTATGGCGCGATATAATACAAT